ACGGTGCATCTTGTTGATTAGGACATAATTTGAAATGTGAAGTCCCTCATGGTCGCACTCCACAGGGTAGTAGCGTTCATCTTCGCGGCGACATCTNTTGGGACTGCATCCGCCCTCATTTCATATATACCAACTCTCAATGGTATATATGACTGGCTGGAGAAACGCCTTTGGAAATGTACTCTGCTCATTATCCGCTGCCGTAGGACGTATCATGCCACTACTGCCGCGAGGAACGAAACTAGGGCCAGGACATTTCAAGCGCCCTGGCATGTGGCATTCCCATGACAAACTCGAGCTAATGCAACAAAAAAAGGTAAAGTAAAGTGCGGTGAATAACCATGGTCTTGGGGCTTTGAGACTTTGGCAGCCGACTCGTACTCCTCGGTCAACTATACTCTGGAGGGAGCCAAAGCCCGTACTCTCACGTAACTACACTACTTTTTCTCAGTACTCTCGCCGGGCGCATGGGGTACTAATTTAACCAATATTCTTACCCTTGATACAAGCCTAATNGTTGGCATTGATGGAGGTGTTTTTGTTAATGCTGCAGAGATTGTGGCATACTTTTATGTCTATTTACAATTGCAAATAATTAGACACATTGCGTTAAGACAGCAGAGGCGTAGGCACCTTGACGCGCGCCGTGGTAGCATTAATGGACGCTGTTAGTGAGTCCCGAATAGCGGGACGGTCCCTAATATTATTTACACTTAAGCATTGCCGACTCTCGGAACTTCCTCCAATCGAACCCGGGCCAATTCTCAATGCCATCATTTTGCTGAAGACGAGGCCACCTACTTAATTCTTTTTTTATTTTTTTAATTTTTTTTATTTTTTTTATTTTTTTTATTTTTTTTAATTTTTTTTATTTTTTTTATTTTTTTTAATTTTTTAATTTTTTTTATTTTTTTTAATTTTTTTTAATTTTTTTTGGTTTTTTTGCGCTGACAATAAACAGCTATTCGATATCTTATCGGCAATGGACCCTGCGCAGTCAGATGCCCAAGTTGCAGCCGCCGACTCACAACCCGATGAACAATCGCCATCTCCATTGCCTCGGACAAGATCCCGGAGACCCCTAGTACAGCCTCGGCGGTACGGTTTCGCCTGTGCTAATTGTCATGCTCGCAAGGTCAAGTGCAATGGTAAGCAGCCGACGTGTCGTACTTGTCAACAGTCAGGAACTCGATGTGTGTGGCGCTCGTCGGCAGAGAAGCAGCTCCGCGATGCCAACTCACGCATCCGGATGCNAGAAGAGGCTGTCCAGGCGGCTACGCGTTCGGAGACACCAGATCTGGACCGTTCTCGTGAGGTTGAAGAAGGTGAAGCCGTGACGCAAAGTGCTGCCACGACCACTAGCAGTACGACTGGAACTGGAGCAAATCGATCTGCAACATCGCCTACGTCTGGCACTTCAGCCTAGTTCCAGGTTGGGCTTGGACATAATGGCGCAGTGACTTACAATGGCCCCACGAGCCGTTTCCATGCGAGTGCATTGGAAGAGCACCTGGCCGATGAAGATGACCCGCAAGTCTCTGGACAGTCAAGTGACA